CGTATTCACTTTAGCTGCAACAGCAGATGTTAGACCATATTTAATCTGAGAAACCGAAGAAGAGATAGTGTGCGTTTATGTGAGTATTGACACCATGCATCATAACAAGGACTGGCTTTTGGTAGTGTTGGAAAAGCCTCAGTTCGATTAGGCCGGCGACTTGTCCGTTAGTTACCATTTAAAGACTGGCTATTGAGCCTGACTCTCTGAGGTTGTTTTCAGAGACAGGGGTTAGTGTAGCCTCTGTGGCACTCCCACTAGTGTTGGCTGCGAGAATCCCCTTCGGTGACTATCTGGCAACCGCTCGAGGACTGGCTCGTGTGTGGCGCGCGTAGACGGGCCCTTGAACTTTGTCAGCCTGAGTCCACTTCCCGTCCACTTGAAACTGTCTTACCATCGATGCTTGATGCGTGCGGGAGGAGAGGGCGCAGTAGCTGCTGCGCAAGTCTGCCTTACTGCAAACTAATTCACGCGGAATTCACTGATGTTGCATCCACTCAGCGGGGCACACGGGAGTTTCGTCGTTCGCAACCACCGAACTGCCAGGGACTGGCTGCATTGCAGTTGCCGTGGCAGACGATTCAGAATAATATGGTTGACTGTAGAGGACCGTCGTTATAAACAGCGCTTCCTTTGCTATCTTCCTCTATGACCGATGGCATAACTACTTTGCAACCTGGGAGGGGGTTGCCTGTTTATAGTGTGTAGACTATCCTTCAAACATTAATGTTCACTGTCGGTCGGACCGTCATGACGGATGAAGTCCTCAGCCAGAGCAAGTACCAGCTGACCACAGACGCCCTTGCATAAGAAAAACACATTGATTCCTCTACCTGCTGCCCAAAGTTTTGGTCGAAACTATTATCCGAACACACACATATATATATATATACACCCCGAGAAAGAGATAATATACACTTATACACGTGTCTTAACCATGCTTCCGCATCCTGCTAGTTAATTACAAATTTTTCATTCCATACATATAATAGTACGTTTCCGCCCTGTTTAGATCCTCCGATTTCTGTTGTCTCACATAACGTATGCTGTTTGGGTGCATCTACCGTAGACCACACATTCTAGCGTCCAAAAATCACATCGTGTATATCACGCGGCATCACAACCCGCCGAAAAAGGATTGCTAGGCATGTGAACTACTCTAAAACTTATTTCACCCGATGTAGGGATTAGTCTATCCTGAACGTTGGCAATAATTTATGTTGTTCCGTTTTGTCCATATCTTTCCAGTTTGATTCTAAAGGTTCCTACTTCCAAGCTCATGCACGCGAGTAGGGTATCTAAGTACGTTTTGATGGGACTTACTAGAAATTAGCCCTAATTTCCATCTCAGGTAGTGGCAGTATTGTCCGCTGAAGTAGTTAGGCGGACCAGTAATGGCTTTTCCAACCCCCATCTCTTCCTTTCTGCTAATATATATTTACTCAATCTGACAAGAATTTGGTTACAGCATATTTTAAACGAGTTACATCTGGTCACTTCATTTGACTGTTTGCTTTGGCAAGGTAGGAAAAAAATTAATCTGGCAGATAAACTGTTCTGCTGGCAAAGATATTTTTTGATCTGATATTGTGTTCATTGTCCTTCATTGTTCCTCTTTTGCGTCTAGGGATATACTAGGACCCCTCTTACCATCGTCCTCCCCATATATCTCCTAACATGGGTTTGGTTTACCTACAAACTTTTATTGTGGAAGAATCGACAGCTGCTTTGGCCATTCAATCAACCATTGTGTCTTTTGTTTCCCCATCGCTCATAAAAACGGCTCAGCTTCAGCAACCAGCTGGTATGCACCTGCTTATACCCCTTGTTTGTTTTCTCATCCAAGGCAAGCACACGCCGGTTATGAAAACCGTGGGGTTCGGGCTCAACCCGGAAACATTTAGATGCAGGTATGTCAAGTTAAATAGCAGCATCTCCATCAAACTAGGTCCCGAGTTCTTTCAAGCAAAGCATGTTCTAAGACAACACGACCATGGCCACGACGGGCATCCATCAGACTGATCAGGCGGCAGTTACTTCAAAATAAGCAGTATCTAGTCGCCACGGTGTGCGCATTGATTTTACCAACCGGATCTCCTAAGAGTATGCCAGGTACGAAGTACGGAAATAGAACGCTCCCAGGTTAGATGCCATAGAAAAGTAATTTGGCAGAATGTCGCGCAGAAGTTCTATCACCACGGACGGTAAGCTCCAGAGTCGCTCAGCAGTAGTTCTGTTTGTAGTGAGACAGACTTTCGACGGTCTTACCTCATCCTATCCTCCCAGACCACAGTGCCCCAGTGGCAAGACGAGGTCAAAATGATTGAAGATGGGCGTTGAAGATAGGGGCTAGGGATTCAAGAAGGACTCATGGGCAGACAGAAGCCAACCAACGAGCGAAAGCCAGTTATGTGATCCGCGCCATAAAGCTCGTAAGAGGCTGGTCTCCAGATGTTATGCTTACAGGCGACAGACGCGTACCGTTGCTGACGACGCAGCAAGGTAGTGCACCAACAACCAGTCTTCATTTACACTGTTAGTAGAACTAGTCAGCAACTTGCTGGTCAACCGACTTCGATACTTACAACTGTGGCGTTTACTTCACACTCGGACGCCCGAGTCACAGAGACTTAACGAGTACACACCTCACGTGCTCTATTTGCCCGACCCCGCAAATCTAGTCTATTCTATCTATATGAATAAACATTGAAGTGTGCAATGATTTACCGTACTAACAACACAGGTATTAGCTAAAAGCCCAGACACGCGTGTTTCGTCGATCTTATGCCGCTGCCTGACGGAACTGCGGGGGGTTCGGTTCGTCGGTGGGTCCCCCAGCTTTCCCCGTGTGTTTTCTGGCATATGAACTCCAGTTTCAACTTGCCTCGTTTAATTTCCGAGGAAACTAATGCGCTCATGGATTTCAGCTTAAATATTCATATAAAAATTTGGAGCGTGCCTGAAAGGGCCCGTTCCGAAAGATTTACTTCAAGTTTGCGCAGTAATTTCCACCGAAATGAAACACGGCAAGTTGAAACTGGAGTTCATAAACCAGAAAACACACGGGGAAAGCGGGGGCACACACTGACGCGCCGAGCCCCTCACAGCTGCGTCAGGCAGCGGCATAAGATCGGCGAAACACGCATGTCTGGGCCTCTAGCTAATACCTGTGTTGTTACTACGGTAAATCATTGCACAATTCTATACTACTGGTTGCCTGTTGGCGGTTTGTGAATTTTAAGCGGTTATTCCGCAGTAGCTGATGGATTTCAACTCAAATATTCATATCAAACTTCAGACCGTGCCTCAAAAGGTCTGTTTCACAGGAGTTACTCCAAGTTCGCGCATTAGCGTCCTCGGAAATTAAACAAGGCAAAGATTGAAGTGTTTTTTTCTGTCATAGGTAAGCTCCGAAAGTACTGCACCGATTGCGCTGAAATTTTATTAAACCTTGCCTGCGCATAGAGCCGGGTTTTTTATGTCTACCTTCATAATCATGCAGATATTACGCCTGTGATGGGTAAAAAAACCTGATTTTTTCTCGCATAACAACGCCGTCTGCTGATGCGCTGGCCTGCGCCACTTAACCGACATCCGCTCGACCACACG